TGTTTGTAAAATCATTTTCTTATTTCTTGGTGATCTTAGTTCATTTCTTTCTTGAACTCATGGAATGGTCTTAAACTGTTTGAACATTTGACTTTACTCGAGGACGAGTAAAGAACTAAGTGTGGGGGAGTTGATACGTTTGTAATTTCCGTATGTTTATTTACGCTTTTAGTTAGTTTTGATTGTTTAATATTTCGGAAATTACACACTTTCGGTGTAATAGTTTAGTTTGTTAAATTCTTGTAATTTGTTTAGATTAGGTTTATTCTGAGCTTAAACAGGTCCAAGATCAATCAAATGATCAATGGTGAAGGAAGGTGCAAGAGTACAAGACAAAAAGAAGGAAAAATCCTGATTTTGGTCTATACTCGGTCGAGTATATACATATACTCGATCGGGTATTTGGTTGACATTTCAAATCGGATCGGATCCGAAAACAAAGGAACATGCAGGAGAAGATTTTCCCACGTTCGAGTGTCTATACCCGATCGGGTATACTTATATACTCGATCGGGTATAGCTATAAAAACTACCCGAGTATTGATCGAGTATAGGGCGAATTCGATGTTCTACACATACTCGATCGAGTATGTATATATACTCGATCGAGTACTCGACCTGCACCTCAAAAAGCCTATAAATACACCTCCTTTCCTTCACTTTTAGAAACCAATTCCTATACACTCTTAAGCTCAGTTTAGAATAGCATTTCTTTATATTTCTTTTAGCATGTTTAGTCTCCAAATGAGGAGCTAAACTTCCATTTCTTGGTATTGCTCTTGAAGCTTGTTGATTATTAAAGTTGTGAGTTATTTTCTTAACTTCTTTTCCTTGAATATTAATTCTTCCTTTAAATACTATTTCTATATCAATGTTGGGGAGTGTTACTAAGATGACAATTAGTTAACATCTTGACATTGGTCTTAGTAATAGTTATTCCTTCCTCTATGTTAATATCGGGGAGTGTTACTAAGATGACAATTAGTTAACATCTTGATATTAACCATAGTAGGATACATCTTCTTTAATATTCTTCCTTGAATATTAATTAATCCCTATTCATATTTTATATTAATATTTTGAACATTACTTAAAGGATCAACTAGTTTTGTTTCACATATTAATTATTACTAGAAACGATCAACGAACCGATGGTTAATCGTTGATAGTTTCACAAGTAAGTAACTTCGGTTTATTAATGCACGGTCGTGGTTAATAAACTTAAGAGGGATTAATTTTGTTGGTTAAACCGAAACTGTTGTGTTGAGGTTATCAATCTCAATTGATTTCATCAAGGAGTTAAAAGATTAAATGCTACTATCAAGTCGGTATATGGCGTTGTTCTATACTTGACTAATAGTAAGGGTTATTAATGAACGGTTGTTGTTAATAACTATCCTCGATGAATTGGATATACTCCTCGATTGAGTATTCGAGAGGAGATAAGTTATAGATATAACAATGATCGACTAAAATATATCAACAAGTGGAAAGTAGCAATGCCAAGTCACTTTTATCTTTGAATTAAATCCCATATAACTCGTTCATCTTCGTGTTTAATTTAATTAAATCACTCAACAATCAAAACCCCCCTTACTTACTTTTTATATAAAAAGAAAGTTATTCCTTTCCCTGTGGATACGAACTCTACTTCACCTATACTACGTATAAGTGCTAGTATTGAATTTATTTTGAGTGCACTCACGACAAAGTGCACGTCACTTGACTCGAAAGCATTTGAAGGCGTGTTCATTGGAATTGGTTACTCATCTTCATGTTACCATGAGGCTACCTAAAACTCTTGAATGTCGTTGTCAAGATGGGTTGCTACCATGAGGCTACCTAAAACAGCAAACGCAAAATCTACTTTGAACAAATAGTTGGTATTATACTTAGAAGTGGTTTACATGTCTTTTCCTTAAATAGTACTCCCTCCGTATTTTATTGTTCACTACATTTGGTTTGACACATTATTTAAGAAAAAGTAGGAGAGAGTGTGTAAAAGTATGAAAGAGAGGATAAAAAGTAGAAGTAAAAGTAGCTAGTATTTTATAAAGGGCAAACTTACCAAAAATGGAAGTGTAGCAAACTTTTAAATACATCCCAAAAAGGGAAGTATAGCAAACATTAAAATACAGAGGGAGTATTGTGGAGGATTTTGGTGGTCATCTTCTCCAAATTGGGTTTTCGAATATATTTGTTCGTAAACTTTGTGATGCAGTATATTCCCATATCCCCCAGGGGTATCAACATCTGAGGACAAACAATCTCTAGAAAACACCAAGTACAAAACTACCGTCGAGATTGGTTCCCAAGTTGGTTCTAAGATCATCAAAATAAGTCCAAATTTGCACCGAGCTCGATTACGCATCCGCTGAGCTCGGTTCCCAAGTCAGCTCTCACATAATCAAGATAAGCCCAAAATGGAAGCCGAGCCCGATCTCGCCACCCACCGAGGTCAACATCATATTCTGGCACTATGACTGAGCTTGAAGTCAACCAGCACTCCTCGAGGGGTCAAAGAACTAAAAGAAGGATTAATTACTCTGCACAAGCAAACTGGGGACACCCTCTTCTCAAGTGAATGCACTACTCCCAAGCTCAAATTCTGCAGAGCCCATGGTGTTAAGCCCATAATGAAAAGATCGGCATCATAAGGAAGGAGTCCAAGTAAGGAAGGAGTCCGAGCAAGGAAAGAGTCCAAGAAAGGAAAGAAATAAAGAGGAATGAGAGCAATCCGTAATTCAAAAAATGGGCTCCCACTTCCTTATTTAATCATGTACAATCAATGAGAGAATAAGTGGAAAAAGGAAAGGGAAATGCATATATAATGGGGGTGTTCGGCCATATTAGAAAAAAAGATACACACTTTGTATTAGAGAGATCATTACATCCAAGCAGCAACTTTCATTCAACTATTATTCAATTATCATTACTATTTTCCTTGTTCTTAATCTCCCGAGTATCGATTCTTAGTTGCTCGATTCCCGTATAATCATTATTCTGAGTTTAGCTTAATTTGGCTAAAACACATGGCCTCACGAAAGATTGTGAACTTAGCTATTTTTAGTACTCAAGTTCTTCACATGACTATGAGTCTGTCATCAATATGACAACTGTCTAGGGCTTACGTACCAAGGCGGTTATGCACATAAGGTTCTAGGCGTACGCATGTTGCTCTCTTACGCAGTCTTACAAAAGGAATCAAATCTGTTACACATAGTACCAATCAGCCAGCTATCTCCATTCTGTTGCCAATCAAGCTTTACACATGTCGTCATATTATTAGATTAGCATATTTTTTACTTGGTGCCCAAGTATTTCCTTTACCGTATAAATATCATCACCTTCCAACTTGTGTAAAAGGATTATCATGATTGTGCTCTAGCTTACTATTACTCTGCCAAACTTTCTACTCAATCTACACTTAGCACTTATCAATCTCTCCTAACTAGTTTTCCGATACCCCTAGGGTCGGTAGAGCCATCACTTAGTTTTGACTAGAAAAACTTGCAAATAACGACAATCAAGTTACTCTAATACCAATTGAAGGTTCCGGTATCCACATCAATCAAACAATAAATAGCAAAGCAAAGAGTAGATGAGAGAATTGAAGATGGTATTGAATATGATAGTGATGAACGAGAAGTTACATTATACTGTATTCAATACTTAGCTCTAGAAAATGGCGCTCTCACGCTCTGTAGGAAAATACGAATGTCTTCAAACTTATTGTGTAGTTGGTGGCATTTTCATAATTTAAGTTAAAATCGCGGCATCCGCTAAATGAGCATTAATGTACGGTTAGTGAGCATCAGACCTATTCTATTGAGTATTAGGAAACAATGAGCATTGCGATCTTTGTTTCATATCTTCTAATTCACTTTCAATTTCTTATTTTTTCTTTTATAAAAACTTATTAAATTAATTATATTTATAATCAACTCTTATGAATTTCAATATGTGAATTTAATGTAATATGGAACTTTTGAAATATGCATTGATATGACATTTTAAAAATGAGTATAACATCAACACAAAATGAGCATACGTAACTTACAAAATGCGAATTGATATGACAATCGTAAGGTTTATTAGTTGAACATCACAAAATTTTCATTGAGTATCAAACTTTCTCTATTGAGATGAACATTACGGTTTATGTTAAATGAACATTAATGAACATTTAATGTACATCAAACATATTCTATTGACTATGAGGAATCCAATATCAGTGATTTCTACTTCATAACTTCTAACTCACTTTCTTTTTGTTATTTTTTCTTTTATTAAAAATTCTTAAATTATATTTATAATCAACTCTTATGAATTTCAATATGCGACTTTAATGTAACATGGTAATTTTAAAATATACATTGTTGGGGTATATTACCCCGGCTTACTACTGTTCAGAGGCCCAAGGCATCGGCCCGGTATGGAACCCAGTCGGCGAGGCCCATTTTGGCCCCTTCGGATCGTTCTGGCACTTTTGGCCCATTTTGAGCCATTTAGGCCCACTCGGTCTACTTGGGCTTGCTTTCGGCCCATTAAGGCCTTTCCGGCCCATTAGGGAAGAAAGGCTCCCCCTTCTCTATAAATAGGAAGCAAGGCTTCCATTCAAAGGGATCCGGATTTTGGGGCTCTTCTCTCCTGGAAAATTCTTCTTCCCTGCTTTCTCTTAGATTAGTTAGCTAAAAGACTCCATTAAAAACAATAAACTCACCCTATTAATATTGCCACTGAAGTCAAAGCTAGCCTTTGGTTGGGACTTGAAAAAGAAGGATCCATGGAATCCTTTTTTTTTTACTAAAGGATTTATGGAATCCGAAGAGAAACAAAAAATGGATACCTCAAATGTATGTCAAGATTAAGGATCAGACAACTACAACATAAGCAAGATTCTGTCAAAACCTTTGGCTAACAGATTCTGCCAAAACCATAGGAGAATAAAGTTATTTTGTTTTGCTTTTTCTAACTGGCTCTTAAAGAAAATTAGATACCTTGCATTGCATTGCATTGTGAAAGCCTATGAAAAGGCAGGCTTTGAATGAACCCAATACCCGATCCGGTGAGAACTGCAGTTATGAGGATACCACCCTACACAATTCCGTCAATTCGGTTAACCAAATCCACCGTTTCGATGAAACTACTAATAGGAATTCTTGGTCAAGAACACATGCACACATGAGGAATTGAAGATGTGTTGTGTATAAGATGCAATCTTAGTTCAGAAAGTTGACACTCAAATGTGTGACAGTTGGGGTATAAAAGATCAGAAAGTCATCGAGTTCATGTATGTTTGGATGGAAGGTTTTGGAGGGGTTTCATGGGGAAGACTTTGGACGTGATAGTCTAAACCTTGAAAAATAGAATACTTTTACAAACGAATAACAGATATGTTATGTTTTACACGGTTACATATTATGATCATCTTACAATTTGTAGAAATTGCTAGAATGGAAAGGAATAATCTTATTAACAAAGGACATGATATTTATATACAAGTCTATGAAGCTATAACGGTAACACTATCTAAGGGAATAAATCAATAATAAATGAAAACTATACAAGGTGAGAACTAAGTATGGGAATAATACTATAATTAAAATATAGCTGTTACACTCCCCCTCAAGGTCATGGCCGAGACATGAGCTTGGATGATATGGAGCGAAAAGCAGCGGGCGGTAGACTCTTGGTGAAGATATCGGCCAATTGTTGATCAGATGGAACAAAAGAAGTGCGTAGGGTGCCATTTTGGACGCGTTCACGGACAAAATGACAGTCAATTTCAACATGTTTCGTACGCTCATGGAAGACCGGATTGTTTGCAATGTGTAAGGAGGCTTGATTATCACAATGAAGACGAGCAGGATGAGATGGAACGTGGAGCTCGTGTAATAAGAGTTGAAGCCAAGTAATTTCACTAGCTGCAGATGCCATAGCACGGTACTCAGCTTCGGCGGAGGAACGTGAAACAGTTGGTTGTTTCTTAGTGCGCCAAGAGAGAGGACTCGTGCCAAGAAAAGTGCAGTAGCCAGTAGTGGAACGACGACTCGTGGGACAAGATGCCCAATCAGCATCACAATACGCATGCAAATGTAAGGAGTTATGAGAGGACAAGAGGATGCCAAGGTCAGGGGCAGCTTTAAGGTAGCGGACCACGCGTAGAGCAGCATTCCAATGGCACTCCTGCGGAGAAGACATAAATTGAGATAAGAGATTAACAGAAAAGGTAATATCCGGCCGCGTTACCGTTAAGTACAGTAGGCGTCCAACAAGCCGACGATAAGAAGCAGGGTCCGATAAAGGTGCGCTCGTGGTGGAGGCAAGATGAATGTCTGAGTCCATGGGTGTGGGTGCAGGTTTGCATCCGAGAAGGCCAGTGTCAGAAAGTATTTCAAGTGTATACTTCCTTTGATTGAGAAAAATGCCATGTGTGGATCGCGCAACCTCGATACCTAAAAAATACTTCAATGGACCAAGATCCTTAAATTGGAAATGCTGAGAGAGATAATGCTTAACAAGTGAAATAATAAAAGAGTCAGCACCAGTAATAATAATATCATCAACGTAAACAAGTAAAATAGTGATGTAGGAACCACGAACATAAGTGAACATGGAATAATCTGCCTTAGATTGACAAAAACCAGCATGCAAAAGGGCTTGAGAAAAAGTGGAAAACCAAGAACGAGACGCTTGCTTAAGACCATAAATGGATTTACGTAAATGACAAACTCGAGTCTCCCCCTTTCGACCATACCCCGGAGGAAGGGTCATATAAACATCTTCATGTAAATCACCGTGAAGAAAGGCATTAGACACGTCAAGTTGGTGAGTGGGCCAATGTTTAGAGGCGGCTAAGATAAGGACGGTACAAACAGTGGTGAGTTTCGTGACGGGAGCAAAAACCTCAGTGTAATCAAAACCTTCAAGCTGAGAGTAGCCTTTGGCAACAAGGCGAGCTTTATAGCGGTCAATGGAACCATCGGGATTATATTTAATTTTATATACCCAACGACAACCGATGGCAGTTTTATGAGGAGGAAGTGGAGTGAGATCCCAAGTGTGATTAGCTTCGAGAGCTTGAATTTCGGAATCCATGGCTTGACGCCACAACGGGTCTTGTCGAGCAACGGAGTACGAAGTTGGTTCCACTAATTTAGTGATATTATTTAGAAATAGGAGATGTTTGGGGGAATAGTGGGCTGTTTGAAGTTGAGAGTGAAGAGGATAGGGAGTCGATTGAGAGGAAACAGTAGAGAGGCCACAAACATAGTCGTTAAGATAACTAGGTGGTTTGGAAACACGTTGTGATCGGCGGGTGGCGGGATGAGGTGGGGGAGAGAGGGACGGGCTGGAGGTGAGATTAGGTGGAGAGGGGGATGGGAGTTCGGTAGTGGATTGGTCATATGGTGTGCCGGAGGTTGGAGAGGATATAGGTGGAGAGATGGAAGAGGGCGTGGAGGGAGAAGGGGTGGTGGCAGATGGAGATACAGGAGAGGGGAGGGGAGATGGAGTAGTCTCATGCGTGGATGATGAAGGTAGATCAGGGATGGGTTGAGGCAAGACAAGGGAAGAGGATTCAGGATGTGCCGGGTTCATTTTAAAAGGGAAAATGTTTTCGTGAAAAATGACGTCCCGACTAATAAAAATTTTCTCAGAATCAAGGTCATAGAGGCGATATGCCTTTTGACCATGTGGGTATCCTAAAAAAATACATCTCCTAGCACGAGGGGAAAACTTATCAGGGTGATAATGAATAGTGGAAGCATAACAAAGACAACCAAAAGAGCGTAAATGATGAAAAGAAGGGGGTTGGTGAAAAAGAATTTGATAGGGGGTTTTATTATGTAAAAGAGGGGTGGGGGTGCGGTTAATAAGGTAAGTAGCAGTAAGAACACAATCGCCCCAAAATTTGAGAGGGAGGCCACCTTGAAAACGTAAAGCACGTGCCACATTAAGTAGATGACGGTGCTTGCGTTCAACAACCCCATTCTGTTGAGGAGTTCCAGGGCAACTCGTTTGGCTAATAATGCCATTTTGAAGGAGAAAATTTTGGAAAGCGTGTTGTGTAAATTCAAGTCCATTATCGGAGCGAAAAGTTTTAACGCAAGTATGAAATTGGTTTTTAACATAATTAAGAAAATGCACAAGAAGTAAGAAAGCATCAGATTTAAAATGCATTAAATAAGTCCATGTAATTCTAGAATAATCATCAACAATGGTAAGGAAGTAAGAATGATTATCACGAGTTGGGGTAGAATATTTTCCCCAAATATCAACATGAAATAATTCAAAACAAGCAGTAGTGATAGTATTACGCAACGGAAAAGGTAAACGAGTTTGCTTGGAAAAATGACAAGTGTGACAAACATTATCAAAAGAAGAGCAGCCCAAATAGGGAACTAAATGTAACTAGTTGCAGAGGGATGTCCTAGACGGGAATGCCACGTCTCAGAGGAAACACTTAAAAGGGCAGATGAAATAGATGCATTAGTAAAAACGTATAGGCCACCACGTTCATGGCCCCGACCAATCTCCTTCTTCGTCAAAAGGTCCTCAAAAATGCAATAATTAGGATAAAAAAAGAACAATACAATTCGAATGTTGTGCCAACTTTCGAACAGACAACAAGTTGAATTTGAAGGTAGGCACATATAAAACATTGTCTAAACATAAAGTGGAGGATAAACGGGTAGTACCGATGCCATGGACGGGAATAGACATGCCATTAGGAACAGAAATTTTTAAATTTGAGGGTGAAGAAACGGGAAATTTAGAAAATAAATCTAAATTAAAACAAACATGATCGGTGGCACCGGTGTCAATGATCCATTCATTAGAATTGAAAAGCGAAGTAGATAAGACAAGAGGCGTACCAATCATATTAGCTTTAGGTTCCTTAGAATTTTGAAGCAAACGAAGTAATTGTTGAACAGGGTCGTTATCGGCATTAGGAGCAAGAGTAGAGGAACCATGTGTATTTCCTTTGCGATAAAACTTATGGCCGGGCGGATAGCCATGAAGGCGATAACATACCTGTTGAGTGTGACCAAGAAGGCCGCAGTGGGAACATTTGGGTTTGGATGGTCCTCTAGGAGACTGCTTGGAGGCCCCGTGTTGGTGAGCGACATAGGCAGTAGGTTGGGCAGTAGATGGTGAGGGAAGCAAACCTGGCAGAGACCCTCCAGAAAGCTGTTGAAGGCCTGCGGATCCTGGAAGCATAGAGGAAGGAGGTGGGGCAGCAGACTGAGGCAGCGTGCTCCAAAGAGGAAACGGAAGGAGCATGAAGACGTTGTGCTTCATCTTGAAGTAAAAGGGAGTAGGCACGTTTAACGGAAGGGAGGGTTGTGTTAAGAAGAAGTTGACTACGTGATTGGGCATAGGTATCTCGGAGACCCATTAAAAACTGCATCAAACGGCGACGTTCAATTTGATTGAAATAGGCCGTCCGGGCAGTGCAAGTGCATTGCGGTGGAGGATCAAGGAGGTTGAGTTCTTCCCATAGTCCGGACAGTTTATTGTGATAAACGGGAATAGAATCGTCCCGTTGATGGAGAGTAGCAATAGAGCGCTCAAGTTCATAAATTCGGGGACCATTGGCTGTGGAATATCGGTCTTTGAAGTCGGACCAAACAGCAGACGCGGTGGGGGCATAAAGAACAGTAGAGCGAGGGATGAGTGAACGGAATGAAGCATCCAGGACATTACCATGTTGTTGATACGCTGCCAGCGACTGTGATCTCTATGCCCCGCCAGAGGAGCCGGTAAGGAGCCATCAACAAAGCAGAATTTGTTTCGTCCTTTGAGCGCCACGGTCATCGCAAGTGCCCAGGAGGAATAATTTTCGAGGCCGGTGAGAGGGCTGCCGACTAGGGAAACACCAGGATTATCAGATGAGAGTAAGTGATAAGGACTCTCAAAATCATATGTAGAATGTTGTGGTTCATGAAGGAAGCTGGTGGGATTAATTTCATCTTCAGAAGAAGGATCTTCTTCAGCCATGGATGAGGCTTAGCCGAAGGAAGGAAAAACAGAGGGACGAAGGGATTGTGCTGGGAGTAGTGGTTGGAGAAAGGAAAATACGTCTGATACCATGTAGAAATTGCTAGAATGGAAAGGAATAATCTTATTAACAAAGGACATGATATTTATACAAGTCTATGAAGCTATAACGGTAACACTATCTAAGGGAATAAATCAATAATAAATGAAAACTATACAAGGTGAGAACTAAGTATGGGAATAATACTATAATTAAAATATAGCTGTTACACAATTTTATAAATAGAATACTTTTACAAACGAATAACAGATATGTTATGTTTTACACGGTTACATATTATGATCATCTTACAATTTTATAAATGTAAAATACTCTCACCAAAGCATTCCAATGCCAAAACATTCATCCAAACAGAGGAGCTTTCTTTTTTTGAGGAACTGCTTTAGAGGGTGTAGGACATGTTCATTTCTCCCGATAAAAAGTGATGATTCTATTTTGCATAGGAGCAATGGTCATGAAGATGAAGTATCAATTTTAACCGATTAGACTAGAAATTACACCCAGTTGACACGTGTCATCATTGTCTTGCTAATATTTCATAATAATGAGTGGATAGAATTGAAGTTTCAAGATCTTAAAAAAGTATTAAACTATTCATAATTAACTAAAAGAATACATTTCATAATGAACTAACTAATGTTTTATAACGGCCACAATAATATTTCACTATAGCGCTAATGTTACTAAATACAGCCCTTTTCGACATCAAATAATGTTAGGAAATAGAAAATTACAACTAGTAATAACTAATAACACTACATTGTAGTATTGTACTGCCTAATTAGATATCAAAATTACCATTTTTTACCAATAGTATACCATCAAAGATAGTGCAAAACAAAGACATATTTTTCAACTAGTCTTTAATTTTTATAATCAGAATGAAGTATAAACACGTTTTATATTCCTACACTTGGCTTTACTTTTACGTTTACTTTACAAAACAGTAGTCAATGTAAAACTTGACCTATTGAAAAAAAGAACTAATTTTGTACTAAATTTACAGTTGAATGGAAGTGTAAACTTTGGGCATTATAAAATTCACAATCACCCTTGTATTTGATTTTAAAAGAAAGTCATTACACAAGCTATTTAGAGAGCTTACATGTGTTTATACTACATTTCTAAGAGTTGGTTCTTGTCTTATTTTTTGTTCTTGTCTAAGTTTCTTGAATATTATTCATTTTCTTATATGTAAACATATACACTTACATATAAAAGACGATGCTTACGAGAGAAATAACTAAATAAGAATGAAAATTTGTTTTTTATGAGCAAATATGAGGCAACATAACATTATGGTCCAATACGAGAAGCATGAAAATTATGAAAATATGTTTCTATGTAAGGAAATTATTAAAGTATCTTTTGAAGGTGAAAGAATGATTAACAGATTTATTTGTGGTAATGCACAAGAGTCAGGGTTGTGGAGAATTGTTAGGAAATACAAGGGGTGTTTGTCGGGATTCGATTCAGTTTTGGTCTATTTCGATTTTTAGTCGATCCGCTTTGGTTTTGGTCAATTTTAGCATATTTTAATCGGGTTTTGCCGGCCGATTTTGGTTTGGCCAATTTTTTAACTCAAAGGTATAAACCGTAAACCGAAGAATTAGTCTATTTTGGTCGGTTTCGATTTTGGTTGACTTCGGTTTTAGTCGTTCGGTTTTGTTTTTTTCGTTAATTATGTTTTCTTCTAGGAAATTCTTTGTATAGAACATTTTAAGTTGGAGTTGCATAACATGAGACCAGATTTCCATAATGTTTTCAGTCTGAGATCAGGCCAGATGAGACCAGATCAAATTAGATCAGACTTAAACAAGCTAGATCAAACCAGACCAAATTTATATAATTATAAAATAAGCAAAGATCACAGTAGAATAATTCATAGCAACTGAGACTCAAACATATCAACGACCATACTCGTAAATTTTAGTACAAACGAAAACATGCAAACCGGTTTTGACCTAAAACCAAATATAGAATCAAAGTAAAAATTTCGGTTCAGTTTTACACTCCAAAACTTGGAACCACGGTTTGATTGGTTCGGTTTGGTTCGGTTGGGTTTCGGTTTTTTCGGATATTTACCAAAAAAATTGTCATTAGATTTAAAATTGATATAATAGTTAGAGGGATCTAACATACTAGTATTACATAAAGAATGCAATCACACTAGAACAAATAAAATAAAAATGAGACGAAATAAATATGTCTTGAATTATATGAGTATGTGAGAGAGATAAAAGTGTATATATTATTAATTTACATTGTTTGTGACTAGTTCGAAAAAGTTTATGAACATATATGTTCTATGTGGTATAGGTGAGATGAATATTTATTATTTTATCAATATAAAATCTTTAAGTTACATAAAAATAAAAGTTAATTACTACTAATAACCAGTAAAAACATATCATCATCATGCAACAAATTGCAACATACATACATACATAAAAGGCATAATAGATCAATATAGCTACATTATTACAAGCAATGAATTGAATGTGTAAATGAATTTATAAACTACACATAATATATAAACCAAAAAACTCATAGAAAACCAAAATCTTAGGGACAAGAAACCTAAAGACTATTGATGATATTAGAATTAATGCTTAACAATTAATGAATATAATTTACATATTTTAATTAGTTCGGTTTGTTCGCTACGGTTCGATTTTGAAGGGGTGAGAACCAAAAAACGAACCAAACAACTACGGTTCGGTTTGATTTTTTACATTTGGCTTCGGTTTTTTAGCGGTTCAATTTTATTTGACTTAGGTTTAATTTAATTTGATTCGGTTTAATTTGATTCTGTTATTTTACTTTTTCTATTACACAAAAAGCACTTATTTTACCAAACACTACCCACTTTTACTTTTCAAAATCACTTTTTTCGCAAACACTATCAACTTTTATTTAATCACTTCTCCCCATTTCATTAAAAAAACACTTTTTTAAAAGCAAAAACTGTTGCAAACAGACCCTAAGAGCATCTCCAATGTGGAGGTGGATTGCTCTTAGAAAGCATTCCACATAAGCCAATAGACCTTCTATTTCAAAATCTAGTTTCCAATGCAAAAAAGTATGGACCTAGTGAAGCTGACTTGGCAATGAAAAAATGGAAAGAGGTCTCGCACCGTGCGAGACCTCTTTGTACGAAGGTGCGTATTCAGACCCTCGGTCTCACCCTGTTGGTGGGGTCTCTTGCTTATTTCAGTTCTGCTTGTACGAAGGTGTATGAGTTTTATTTGTTTGCATTGGTGACCCATTTGTTTCGACCCTTTCATTTGTTAAATAATTGGCCCACATGTAAAGTAGACCTTTTCCATTTTATTGCCACATCATCACCGGGTAACGTCCATTTAGGGTCTGTTTGTAACAGCTTATGCTTTTAAAAAAGTGCTTTTTTTAATGAAATGGGGAGAAGTGATTAAATAAAAGTTGATAGTGTTTGAGAAAAAAATGATTTTGAAAAGTAAAAGTGGGTAGTGTTTGGTAAAATAAGTGCTTTTTGTGTAATAGAAAAAGTAAAAGCACTTTTGACGCGGAAGCCGAGAAAAATAAAAGTTGTAGTGTTTGGGAAAATAAGTGTTTTTTTTAAAAGCCAAACAAACCCTTATCCATCGATCACTCTCTCCTCTCTAGCTTCTCCGGTAGTTTTGCTGCTGTGCCAAAAATTCAAGAGTCATACTCTCAACTCAGTAAATCTAAGTTTGCAAGTATTATTAAGCTGGACGATGCAATTGGTTTGTACCGTCACATGGTTACAATGAGACCTCGTCCTCCCATCGTGAAATTCAACCAACTCTTGAATGATGTTGTTACCACGAGGCTTTCTCTCTATTTCAAGATATTTTTGCTTCTGGCCTTCTGATAAATGAGTTCACACTGAGCATTGCTGCCAATTCCCTTGCCCGTTTGCATAGAGTAGATTTTGCATTTGCTGTTTTAGGAATCCATTTCAAGCTGGGTCTAGTACCTGATGTGATTTTGTTCAGCACCTTACTGAAAGGACTTTTTCTGCAACATAGGGTTCAAGATGCTGTTTGGTTGTTCCAGAAGGTATTGAATGAGAAAGTGTGTGAGGTAAATGAATTTACATTATCAATACTGGTTGATGGCATGTGCAAGGCAGGACACACTGGTAAGGCTGTTAAGCTGCTTCACTTATTTGACGAGAAGGGAAATTGCAAGCCAAATATATTTGCATATAACACCATCATTGACTCATTGTGTAAGGATAGAATGGTGGACAATGCTCTTGGCTTGTTACAGAAGATGATGGGAAAGGGAATTCCTCCAGATGTCGTGACATATAATTCACTTATTGATGGGCTCTGCAAACTTAGTCTATGGGAAGCGGTCAAAGAGATGCTAAACAGAATGATGGATTTCAGAATTTCTCTGGATGTCCAGACTTACAGCATTCTAGTTGTTGGGTTTTGCAGGGAAGGGTGGGTCATCAGTGCTGCAAAACTCATAGATAAAATGCTTATAGAAGGTCTGACTCCAGACACAGTCACATACAATGGTTTGATGGATGGATATTGCACACAGGGAAACATTAACAGTGCTTTCAGACTCTTAAGGACCATGATAGATAGTGGGTGTGACCTTGATATTTGGACTTTTAACATTTTGATAAATGGATGTTACAAGAGTGGGTTTTCAAATAAGGCTGTACAATTATTTGGAAATTTACAAAGTCAGGGTTTAAAACCCATTGTTGTTACCTACAACATTATGTTGGTGTGTTTGTTTCAGGAGGGGAAATGTGAGGATGCCGAGAAGCTTTTTAAAGAGATGGTGGGAAATCGAGAATATCCAAATCTCATCACCTATAATATTCTTCTAAATGGCTTCTGTAAGAATCATCGTGTTGTTCAAGCACTTTCTTTATTGAGGATGATGGCTAGGAGTCCTGTTCCAAATATAATAAGCTACAGTATTATTATAAATGGACTATGGAACGATGGCAAGGCATGGAGTGCAATGGAACTATTTAATGCCCTTCCCTCTAAAGGACTTCTGCCAGATAACTTTACTTACAATACTATGATCATTGGACTTTGCCGAGAAGGCTTGCTAGATCATGCTAGAGATATGCTCATGAAAATGGAGAAAAACGGTTATGTTGCTAATAGTGTGGTATACAATGTATTCATTCGTGGGTTACTGAAAAAGAGTGAGTATAGTGAAGTTGTATTACTTTTGGAAGAGATGTCAAGACGTGGACTCTCACCTGATAATAGCACCTGTGAGATTGTACTTAAGATCATCTTGCAAAAAGGATCGGATTCCGCTCTTCTTCATATGCTCCTGAATACAAAGTGAAACTGTGATATTATTAGTTCTTAAAAATAGTTATTCTAATTTAACTTACTGTTAGCTAAAAACTAGTGGTGTTTGACAAAATTTATCAACAAATAGGCACATTTTTGGTGGGATATAGTTATTACTATTGGATTGTAATACATGTGAGCGGTTAACTTAATTACGTTGAAGTCATATGGCTTTCACATTAGAAGTAATTATAATGAATAACTTGTTGTGGAGTTTGCTGTGAAAGTGATATTTATTTGCATTTCAGGGGAATTAGAGTTGGGACATAGTATGCTGATCTTTTAATTTTTATTCCGAGTGAACCATATTTTAGCAGCAGCTATGCATACTAGTTTAGTTGTTTGTTAAATATTCTTATACTACACATTAGGAGAGTTGCTAGTATTTATTTCATTCTTTGACTTTAGCTTGAAGAATATCGATATATTCATGGGGGTGGGATTTGCCCATGTTTGCATAATAATTGCAATGCTTATTGATAATTTGGTGCTACACGAAGTTTAGTTGTATTCTGATATGGAGTATAAGCTATATGGGGATTAGTCATTCAAAGTTGGATAGTTTACCTCTTCGAGAAAAGGTTTTTGGAAACCCCCTTCCAGAAAAGTTGTACAATGAACATAATTATGTCAGCTGGGAATAATAGTAAATAGGGTGATGCAAATATCACATGAAACAAGTTGTTGCAAAACGTATAATAAAATATGCCTGAACTGTGAAAGTGCAATGTCGTAATTCAATGATGAGCTTTGTCGTCCTCCTACAACTTCTCCGGTTTTCATGATGTTGCTGCTATGCTGAAAATTCAAGATGCATACTCTCAACTTAGTTAGTCCATGTTCTCGATGATGCAATGGTTTTGTAGTCACATGGTTACGTACAATGAGACCCCGTCCTCCTACCGTGAAATTTAATCGATTCTTGAGTTCCACTATGAAGATGGGTTGTTAAAATGACACTGACTCACTAAAATTCTACCTTTCTGGATTAATGAAATAAATATACAGTTTAATGACTGTTGAGATGCCCTTTTGTTGTAAACATGGAGTTTTTACTGATCATTGTCTCTTGAACTGCGGCTGTCAAAAAGTATTTGGTATCCTTTTATAGGATTGTTTTATATTTATAGACCATCCTTTTCATGTTCTACTTTGCAATTGATTATTTCTTGGTGGTTGGAGGCTGGAAAACGCAGTCTCACGGATATCTTTAACAAATATTAGTTCAGGTGTTGTGGCATGTTTTTTTAAAGCAGTATGCACAACAAACTTGAGATGATAACCCTGGACAGCTTCTTCCCAAACCATTTATCAGATTAAGTATTTCCTGTTTCTTTGGTCATCAGGTAACCAGGTATAAAAAAGTCAAAGCAAATCACTTTTGACTTATATTTGTTCATTGAGGACTTGATTCCTAAAACATTACGAAACAGTAATCCAATTGTGGTTAAATAAAATAAGCGCACTGGTCATTTTAAAATCAAAGGAGAATTGTCCCTTAAAGACTGACTGCTACTGGAGGTTGTATAATGCATAATAGCAATGGCCAGATGATCTTTGCACTGCATTTTCACCTTAAGGCTAAGACAGTATTAGAAGCAGATCAAATTGGAGGTTATACTTACATAATGCTTTTTGAACGAATAAAGCATTTGTTTGCACAACTAATTCTTACATACCAAAAAATAATAAATCTGCACTTCAAGATCAAACTGAAACCAGTGTTGCTTCTGTATGTCTGTTGGGGGTGAGACTATGCAATTTAGTCTGTTTTTTGTTCCAGGTCACTTTTGCTGGATCATTTGACCACATGAATATTAATTCTACCAGGTACAGATGTTAATAACAATTCTTCTTCTGTACCACTGTAGAATATTGATCCATAAGTCTTCTTCATCACACCTGCAACTAAAATCCTTTATCAACCATTGTGCATCTACTTGTAGTGGGTTATTTGTTATCGGTGTCCAGAACCTTGAGATAATTGAGCCAATGCACAATGGCCTTTTTGGGACATGCAATAAGAAGAGAAGGCTATTCCAAGTGCTTAAGACAACCAGAAAATTTGGAAGTTATGCCAACCCTGCCAGACAAATGATTTATTTTGCATTTCGTTGTTTAAGGGCATATTGGCCTGGCCCCTTCTCAAATTGCGCTTATGATAATCACATATTTCTTTAATAAAGCAAATTTTCATATCAGCATATATTTCGTAATCCTTGATGAGATTTTTAACCCCAGAGAGGCTAAAGTACGAAGCTACAGATTAGCACTATGCTAACTCATGTGCAACAGGAAAGAACTAACTGGGTGTAGCTTTATGCCTCTATCATGCCTATTGCTAGGAAGTATTTAGAGCAAAATGTAAAAAATTACTATAGAGTTTCTTAATTTAATACTTCCTCCGTCTGTAAGATATAGAGCCCGTTTGGAGAACTCTGTTTTCAGTCCGTATACCGTGCAACCGGTGCATGGTGAGCACCATGCACCCATGGCTACATGAAATGTAACTCGTGTGATTTCACATGTAACTTCAAGTTAATCAAAATGTAAATTACACTCATTCACATGTAACTCGTTGAGATGTAAACTGCTTTAATTGAAATGTAACTTGGAAACAAATTAGATGTAACTTGGGATATGTAACTTTAGACAAATCTTGATGTAACTTGAGTGTATCCAAGATGTAAATTGAGGAAGATCTAAAATAATTCATCAGTCATCTTCAACAAAACAGGCCTCCATTGATCGATTCTGGTTCTGATGAGTCTCAAAACCCAATCGAGTAAAAACAAACTGAAATCCTATAAAATCCAACTAACTAACATTCATGGTGCAGAAAATTTGACAAAAGTAATACGAGTATGAATACATGGCAAACTTTCGAAATTGAAACATGGTGGTCACGTATGTCGAAATTGAAAGTAAAAGCAACCATGAGCACTATTTTTAAATCGAAGGTGCAGACCCTATGCTTCCGTCCAAAAATAATCCAAGGTGCAGAGCCTGGTTCACGCATTTTTTTAGCTTGCGTCACTATTCCGTGTAGTTTTGGGACCGGGCACACCATCCTCATGGTATGCCGGTTGTAGGGTATAATTTGCTTCTGTTTTCGGCTTATCAGGCTTATCAGCCAGCTTTTTCACCAAACACGTAACTTTTACTTTCGCGCGCTGAATTGTGTAATAAGCCGAAAAAGTAAGGTTGGAGTTGCTTTTCTGGCTGTATTGGCTGAAGTTACTGTAGAGGACCATTTTAGCTATTTTTACATATAATTTTTTCTTTAATTTATTAATAAAATATATTTTTAAAATATTTTTTTCTTAAATCAGCAGAATCAGCCAAAACAGCCACTCCAGCCAGAATATCATAAATTTCAGCAGAATCAGCCAAAACAGCCGATTTTGGTGCTACCAAACGGGCTCATAGTCTCATTTTTCATTTTGGGATGTCCCATTTTCAATATTATAAAAAATGAAACCAACAAAGAGATGTTTTTTCTCAGCATTTCGTCCAAAATGACATGTACGATAGTATATCATATCCAAGCAGCTTAATCATTGACAGTTTAGCATCTTATGATTCTTTTTGGGCATTACACAGGCTGTCCAGGAATTCTATCATCATCTGATGATGAAGAAGGATAGCACATACTCCTTGACCTTCTCTATCACTAGTAGCCCCGGGTTTGTATAATTGTGTCTACAAACAATCTGTTGACATGTGATAATAGCTCTGTGTTAGTAATAACTGATGCAGATCTTCTATTTGAACCCTGGAGAACTGTATATATTGAATCATGTTCTGCTAGCTCCTTCCTTGTCTGATTCTCATTTATGAAAGCATGGATTGGAACTGGAATTGTTGTAGAATTTCTACCAAACCAGGACTTACTCCCAAGTTATATGTCATGAGTGATGTTGGTGTCACTTAACAGTAGGTAATCGAGATAGATAATGGCCTTTTTAGGCTGTCTTTGATTGTACTGAATTGGACAACTAGATCACTTTAATTTGACCAACCAAAAATCTGCATTAAGATGAGAGCTTGGTTGCTTCTATTTTCTACTATTGCTTCTATTTTCTACTTCTCAGCTATCCTGCTTTACAATTTTTGTAATCAAATTTCTAATTATTTTACTCACTATTTTACATTTTTTTGTTTCAAAACGGGTAGTATGTTTTTATTTACCACATACGCATATGTTCAAAATAAATCACATGTGGAGCTGGCAATAGTAGACAATTGGAGTGACACAGTTAGGTGGCGGTAGGCATGCACCCGGATCGGTCCGATCCTGGTTCCGGATTGAGACTGCCAAATTTTAGTAAAGATAAGGTCCAATCCATTTATTTATAGTTCCTTGGTATCCGGTCGGTTCTGGACTAGGATCCGTTGATTTTTAGCCCGATTGCATGGCTGAAACCACAAAAACTTGCCCGAAGGCCAAAACTCGGACAATTTAAATAATTTGATTTAGATCATTTTATCGGGAAAAAATCTATAAGAAACGTTAATGTAAAAATTGCAAATCTATGCTCTTCTGGTAGTACTTAAGAGAAGTGATCCTGTCCAGCAAATTTATGTCCGAACAGTGTCCGAACATGGTCATTTGGAGCACTTTCCGGTGACATTTTTTTATGAAATTTTTTGAGCAAGTTCCTCACCAAGTCTAGTTTGTTCATACCAAATTTCAGCTCAAAATTCGATCGGGAAGGCAGTCAAATCATTTTTTTTAAGTTGACTGCGTCAAAATATACATATAAAAACGCAGTCAACTTCAAAAAATGATTTGAATGCCTTCCCAATTGAATTTTGAGCTGAAATTTGATATGGACAAACTAGACTTAGTGAGTAACATGCTCAAAAAAATTCATCAAAAAATTCCACCGGGAAGGGCCCCAAATGGCCATGTTCGGACGGAGGCTCCTGTCCGAACGTGGGGACCTGAACATTGCCGTAGTACTTAAATTGGTAGAATTGCAAATCTATACAATACATCAAAATAATCTATGGACACCAAAGGGACAAATTATTTTAGTTGTGTTAGAAGGCAAATCCACCATACGTCAAAATGTCAAATAAAGGAAAGTAATTCCTCATAACTTAAAATTGTTTTCACATGATATACCCCTGTTTAAATAATTAAAAACCAATAACCTCACCTGTATTACTATATTGCCAACTGAAGTCAAAGCTAACCTTTAGTTGGGACTTGAAAAA